TGCATGTTTTCTTCTATGAGCTTTATAGTTTTACATCTTATATTTAGATCTTTGATTCATTTTTAGTTAATTTTTATGTATGCTGTTAGGATACAACTTCATTCTTTTTGTAAATGGATGTCCAATTTTTTCAGCATCATTTGTTGAAAAGACTGGTCTTTTCCCATTGAATGTTCTTGGCACATTTGTCAAAAATCATTTGACCATATCGGGACACCTGGGTGGCTCAGTCAGTTGAGCGACTGACTTCAGCTCAGGTCATGATCTCAGTCTGAATTCGAGCCCCGCATCGGGCTCTATGCTGACAGCTCAGGGTCTGGAGCCTGCTCCGTATTCTGTGTCTCCCTCTCTCTCTGCCCCTCCCCTGCTCATGCTCTGTCTGTCTCTCTCTCTGTCAAAACTAAATAAACATTTAAAAAAAATCATTTGACCATATACATGCAGGTTTATTTTGGGGCTCTGTATTCTATTCCATTGGCTTATATGTCTGTATTTATGCCTGTACCACACTGTTTTGACTACTCTGGCTTTGTACTAAATTTTTAAGACATGTTTATTTTGAGTGAGAGAGAGAGAGAGTGCATGCTCATGCGCATGTGAGCGGGGGAGGGGCAGAGAGTGAGAGCGAGAGTGAGAGAGAGAGAGAGAGAGAGAGAGAGAATCCCAAGCAGGCTCCATGCTGTCAGCACAGAGCTCTAGCACAGAGCATCATGGGGCTCAGTCCCACAAACTGTGAGATCATGACCTGAGCAGAAATCAAGAGTTGGACCCTTAACTGACTGAGCCACCCAGGCACCCTGCATATTTTAAAATCAGGAAGTATAAGTCCTGAAGCTTTGTTCTTCTTTTTCAAGATGGTTTTAGCTGTTCAGCATCCCTTGAAATTCCATATGAATTTTAAGATGGGTTTTTCTATTTCTGCAAAAAAAACAAATGTCATTGGGATTCTGATAGAGACTGCATTGAATCTTCAGATTGCTTTAGATAGTATTGACATCTTAATAATATTAAGTCTTCCAATCCATGAACATGGAATGTGTTTCCATTACTTTCTCTTCTTTAATTTTTTTCAGCAATGATTTCTAGTTTTTATTGTACAAGTCTTTCACCTCCTTGGTTAAATTAATTCCTAACTATTTTTTTGATGCTACTATAAATAGAAGTGTTTTTGTAATTTCCTTTTCAGATTGCTCATTGTTACCGTGTAGAAGTGTGACTGAGTTTTGTGTGTTGACTATGTGTCTTGCTACTTGGCTAAATTCATTTATTAAGTCTAACTGTGGAATCTTTAAGGTTTCCTACATATAAGATTATATCATCTGCAAACAGAGATAATTTTGCTTCTTCTTCTCCAGTTTGGACTTCTTTTATTTATTTTTCTCTTGCTTAATTGCTCTGGCTAGAATTTCCAATACTATGTTGAATAGAAATGGTGAAAGTTTGTTCCTGATCTTACAGGGAAAGCTTTCAGTCTTTGACCATTGAATATGATGTTCACCATGGGTTTCTTATAAATCTTTATTATGTTGAGATAGTTTTCTTCTTTTCCTAGTTTATTTTGTGGTTTGTTGTTGTCGTTGTTGTTGTTGTTTTAAGTAGGATCCATGCCAAGCATGGAGCCCAATGCAGGGCTTGAACTCACGACCCTGAGATCAAGACCTAACCGAAAATCAAGAGTCAGACACTTAACCAACTGAGGCATCCAGGCGCCCCTCTTTAATGTCTTTTTAATCATGAAACGGTGTTGAATCCTGTCAAATGCTTTTTCTGCACCAATTAGATGATCATGTCAATGTTCCTTCATACTTTTAATGTGGTGTATCACAATGATTAATTTCTGTATATTGAACCATACTTACGTTTCAGGAATAGATCTCACTTGGTTATGGTGTATATCCCTTCTAACATGATGTTAAATTCATTTTGATAATATTTTTTGAGGATTTTTACATCAATTCTCATAAAGGATATTGGTCTGTAGTTTTTTCTTCCTTATAGTATCTTTGTCTGGCTTTCATGGCAGAGTAAGCTGACCTCACAGGGTGAGTTAGAAAGTGTTTCTTCCCTTTCAAGTTTTGGGAAAAGTTTGAGAAGGCTTGGTGTTAGTTCTTTTTTTAATGTTTGGTAGAATTTACCAGTGAAGCCATCAGGCCTGAGACCTTTCTCTGTACCGGAGATTTTTGATTACTGACTCAGTATCCTTACTCATTATAGGTCTATTCAAATTTTCTGTTTCTTTATGATTCAGTCTTTGTTGGTTTTGTGTTTCTAGGAATTTGTCCATTTCGTGTATGTTGTCTAATTTATTGTGTACAATTGTTCAGAGTACTCTTTTTTTTAAATGTTTTTATTTATTTTTGAGAGAGAAAGAGAGAGAGAGAGAGAGAGAGAGAGAGAGAGAGAGAGAGCACAGGTGGGGGAGGGGCAGAGAGAGAGAGGGAGAAACAGAATCTGAAGCAGGCTCCAGGCTCCAAGCTATCAGCACAGAGCCCGATGCAGGGCTCGAACTCATGAACTGCAAGATCATGACCTGAGCTGAAGCTGAAAGCTCAACCAACTGAGCCATCCAGGTGCTCCTTCCCAAAAACAAATAAGTATTTAATTAATTTTTTTAAATTTTAAAAGAAGAACAAATAATTTAGAAAAGAAATCCTTTAAACCAAGTCCTCAAGATAATGATCTGTATTCCTTACCAATTTCTATATGCAGACAGATTTATCATTAATTAGATCCTCTTAATGTGGCTAGTATGCATATTCTCAGAGAAAATGCTTAAAAGAGAAGAAATGCTAGGTATCTGGTAAGAATGATAATAGCCACAATATGTCAAGCATCTCTCATATGCCATGTTCTGTTCTAGATGTTTTATAAACATAGTCTCATGTAATCCCTATAACAACCCTCCCCAAGGTAGGAGAGATAGTCCCACTTCATATTTGAGAGAATTTAAAGGAACTTGAACAATGTAAGAGACAGAGCTAGGAGTTATTCCAGGTTTGTCTGGCCTTCCAGCTGATTTTGTTCATCATATTAACTCTTAGGATTTATGGAGGAGTTTATATAGGGGATTTATTATAACTGATGGGGGTTACAGCATGCCCAACACTGAGCACATGAACCTGGAGGTGATGACCTGGCATGTTTCTTTCTGTCTGGCACCGACATCCGCCACCCCATTGGCTATGCCTGTGCAAGGGCAGAGCACAGTGCAAGCACACAGCACGGGTGGCAGGAACACTTGTCATACTGTGCCCAGGAGGCACAGTTTGGTTCAGAGCATTAGATGATCCCCACCTTTCAGGTAGTGGAACACTGAAAGTGGAAAATTCCAAGCTGTTACACCGTTCTCCAGAGCCGTTGGTAGCTACCCTGTTCCAGTTAGGCAGTTCCTTAGCACGTCAGTCAGTGCTTCCCTCTGTTTGCTGTTGCCTGACAGATGAGGTAGGCTCCCTTCAGCTACCCAGAGCTCCTCGCCATCCCACTGCTCATCTCTCACATTGTTTGCTGCCCTTTTCCTATGTATTTCTGCTTGAAACTTTGGTCACCATGAAGTCTGTGAAGGACATAAATTGCTTAAGTGCATAATTATTTTTAGAATGGCATAAATTATGGGAGATTTCAAATATATATCCTTTTGAAAACTATCTTTTAAAAGTTATGGCATTGGGGCGCCTGGGTGGCGCAGTCGGTTAAGCGTCCGACTTCAGCCAGGTCACGATCTCGCGGTCCGGGAGTTCGAGCCCCGCGTCAGGCTCTGGGCTGGTGGCTCAGAGCCTGGAGCCTGTTTCCAATTCTGTGTCTCCCTCTCTCTCTGCGCCTCCCCCGTTCATGCTCTGTCTCTCTCTGTCCCAAAAATAAAAATAAAAAACGTTGAAAAAAAATTTTTTTTTAAAATAAAAGTTATGGCATTAAAATACATGACATTCTTATGCTAAAAAACACAAAGGAAATGAGGGGAGTTGAACCATTTCCCTACACTTTGCACGGAGGCATCTCAGGTGGTGGAGGGGTGGGGCCAAGAAGAGCTTTGCCTTGAGTGCTGAATGCTCAGCGTGTCAGGTATGGATATGCAGAAACATTCACCAGGGCAGAAGAGGGTGGGCGATATCCTTTCCTGTATCCTTGTATGGTGCTGCTAAGAAGTCGACCTCATTCTTAGCCAGGTCTTTTTTCTATGCCCTTAGACAGGAGGATTTGCAAAAGTTACACCGAGGTTTTAGCATCCATTTTTCTAGTTTCCTTTTCCATTCTTTCCAACCCATCTCTTCCTGTTTTATTGATATTAAACACAAAAAAGGGAAATTATTAATAATCAACGTTACTAAACTAATGGATTAATTTTGGAAAAACCTGTAGGTCAAATGAATACATATCTGGCAGTAAATTATGAATCCAGAAGTACAAGCAAAGCTCCAGCATACTTTTGTCCAAAATTTAATTAGGTAAAACTCTTTGGTTGATCCACCCTTTCCTTTCTTCAGCTTAAGTAAATATATCTGAGCCTCACCTCTGTTCTCTATAAAAAGAAAAAAAAAAGTAGTTCCAATTGTGTAGGGTTCTGGGAAAATAAAATGAGATTGTGCAAGTGAAACATGTACCGTAATGTCTGACATATGCTAAGCACTAACTAACTATTAGCTGATCTCATTATTATTGCAATTATTATTACCAACGAATTTAGAAAGATTTCAACAATACTTTGCATTTGGTAGGTGCTTAACATTTACAGAATACTTTCAAAACCTCACTTTATTCCTACTCTGATGGCCATCATGTATGTAGGACAAGTATTAGCTCCGTTTTACAGTTGAGAAAACAGACTCAGAGAGAAAAATGTCTCTTACGAACTATGGTACCATGAACTATTTTTCCCAGCTTTATATCTCCTTTAGGTGACTTTATAATTTAGTTAGGGTGTAAATTAGTATTATTAGAATTTATAGGAAACATTATTGTGTGTAGAAATAATTATGTAAAATGCTTTTTTGCAGATTTTGAAAATGAGCCAAGAAAAAATTGACATATTTGAAAGTAAGTTGTCAGAAGAGAGAGAAAGGAGAAAGCAATCGACATCTGATCTTAATACTGTACAGAAGGCTTTGAAGGTTGATAGTGAGGTATTCTGCCACTCAGGATGTTATTCTCCTCTTTTTGCATTCCTAATTTAGGGATTTCATGTTACCATTTATTTTGATTTTAAAATAAATAGTAGCTCTAGAATATGTGTTTCTGTTAGTAATAATGGGGTGACTGTTGTTCCCAGACGCTGAGTTCCAGCTCCAGCACTAGCCAAAAAGAGACCTTTAAGTAGTAGGTGGTTTGATTATTAGGGTGGCCATAGAGTCATGGACTTGTCTCTCCTTTTAACTGCTTGTCCTACCATCTTGGAAAGGTCTATCAGGAGACAACCAGCCTATACTTAAAAGAGAGACCTGGAAGTGAGTCCATGGAAGTCTAGATCACCAATTTAGAGGATGGTGACATTTAATCAGTTTGCAGGGTGGGTGACAGCCAGTGCAATGCCCCAAATCCCATCCTGATGACCTACAGGAATTTCCAATACAATGAAGTAGGAAACTGATACCACTTGCCTTCTTCCTGTGGCCACTCTCTGTTCTGTCTCCTTTTTGCCCAACACTTTCCTCATCAACATTCTCTTCTCCTTCTGATTTGAAGGCTTTGGGAAAATACCATGTAACTCCTTTCCTAAAGTAAATTTAATATCATCTGTTTCCTTCACAGGACACCACAGACTAACTCTCAGGCCCCAGTCATCCACCAGCCAAACTACATCTTCCATGTCATCAATGTAGAAATTTGATAAGACTCTACATATAACTAAAGGGTTTTCTCTCACAGATATAGGGGGAAGAAATCAGAGGATTAGAGGAAGCCCTAGTTAATTAAGTCACTGAATACACATTATTAACTAAGGCAGCATAATTTGTTGTGAAGAACACAGAGTTTGAAATTGGTCAGATGGTTGAATCTCAGCTTTACCACTTCCTGGCTATGTGAACTTGGGCAGGCCACTTACACTCTCTGAGCCTGTTTCAGTAGCCCTTCTGCATGAGGTTGTCACAAGGTTAAAGGCTAGTTATTCTGTAAAAGGTACATTTGAAAAAAGATACACTTTAAGAAAGAAAATATAATTAGTGCAGGAGTTGCTGAAGAATGTACCCTCTCTACAGGCCTTGCAAAAAGTAGGAAGAACTCTAGAAACCCAGTCCTTCCACCTGTGAGTGATAGAAGCTAAGAATGCTCAGTTTCATTAATTGACTTAAGTAAACTTTACTACTTAACTACCTTAACTACTTTCTTAAAAGTAGTTCTGCTAGAAGAATAAATTGGGGGGAAAAAAAGCAAAAAAAAAAAAATTGTGACAGTTGTTTCAAAGATTCCATTTTAGAAATATTATACCTTTTATGGGGAAAATCTCATTTTACTAAATGTCTTTATTTCTTAATCAGGAGTTGCAAAAATCAAGGTCAGAACTCATATGCCTTTATAATGAAATTCAAAGTCTTCCAAGGGCAGCAGAATACAGAGACAATTATTTAATAACATATGACCTGCTACAAAGAGAGAATTCTGAATTAGAAACAAAGGTGAGACTGAATTAATTATTTAAATGTTCAGTGTTTGCCTTTATCTCTTATGAGGATACAATAAAAGGAAATTAATTTTCAATAAGAGATTACATGTAAATTGGAGTTTCTTTTATTATTATAGAATAAATTCCCATATAGTGTAGGCTATAAGCCAAGCTATGACTCAGAATAGACTTCAGTCTTTCACTCTTAGAATTAATCTGTGAATTTTTTTTTTTTTTTTTTTTTTTACTTTGAGTCAGTTTCCCAAAAGCTTAAATTTTGGAGCACATATTATAATGTAAAAGGTTTGCTCAAAAATACAACCACCAAATGATCCAGCAATTCCGCTATCTAGAGAGATATACCCAAAAGAATTGAAAGCAGTCTTGAAGAGATATTTGCACACCCATTTTCACAGCAGCATTATTCACAATAGTTAAAGCTTAGAAGTATCCCGAGTGTTTCTTGATGGATGAATAGATAAGCAAATTGTGGTATATACACACAATGGAAAGTCATTGAGCCTTAAAAAGGAAGGAGATTCTGCAATATGCTACAACATGGATGAATCTTGAAGACTTTATGCCAAGTGAAATAAACCAATCACAAAAACACAAACACTGTATGATTTCAATTATATGAGGTACTCAGAGTAGTCAAAATCATAAAGACAGAAAGTGTAATGGTGGTTGCCCAGGGACTGGGGGAGACAAGAAAAGGGTGTAATTGTATAATAGGTATTGGGTTTGTTTTACAAGATGAAATGAGTTCGGGGGATGGATGGTGGCAGTGGCTGCACAACCGTGTGAATATATTTAATACCATGGAACCACACACTTAAACTGGTTAAGATGGTAAACTTTATGTTAGGTCTATTTTACCACCACCCCCCAGTACTCAAAACAAACAAGTTTACTTAAGTGTCTTCAACCTTAAATCTTTGAATCAAAGCATTTTTTTTTTCAGTTATACTGAAAATTAGGCTTATACTTAGAATTAGAAAAATATTTAAATGTCCTGACCCCACTTTGTTCCCCAAGTGTAAAAATGGCTGCCAGACCAGGGTTAGTCAACATTGGACGTTGCCTATAGTGTAATTTCTGGAGTCCCACCTATTATTAACAACTCTGGGCTGAAAATTCCCTTCCTCAGTTACTCTCTGGGTCTTGATTAAAATGGCAGAAAGAAGTGAAGGCTTGAACACACAGTTAAAAGATATTGGGTTATATTTTAGTACGTGTGAAATGGAGGACTAAGTCCAGGCCTCATTAATGTGAAGTTTTTATTCCTGAAAGCAGGGTACAAGTTGCTGAGAGATTGGGATATGGATCAAATAGTATGTGACTTAGGGAGGGAAAGGTTCAGAACATGGGGTTTGCTGTCTGGGAAGGTAGATTATGGGGCATAGCCTATAACTAAGCTTTGTTTGTGGGATCTTGTCAGCAAAGTGAGTTACCCTCACACTGTGCAGTTAAAGGATCTTGTCTTATGAAATATCATTGGATAGTTTAACACAGGAGATAAATGTAGGGAATAAGAATATAATATAAAAATGAGAGAGCCGTATCACTATCCTGCTAATCTGGCTCTGTCTCACTTATAAAACTTTTTATTTTGAAATAACTTCAAACTTATAGAAAAGTTGCAAAAATAGCAAAAAGAATGCCCATGTACCCTCACCTCTCCAACGTTAACATGGTTGGTACTACATTTGCTTTATCTTTCTCTCTCTCCCTCTCTCCAAAAATACCCTTCTTTAAAACCATGGATTTATGCATGCTTATGCCTATGGTAAAAATGGATTAATTATATAACAACTGCAAAGTGTTAAGTTAAACTAGAAGAAGATCCTTCAATTAGATGTTAATTTATATTACTTGTCAATAATTATTTAAGCATTTAATGGACTAAATGACTAAATGTACTTTTTTTCATAATTATCTGTAAGAGTATGCAAAATAGAATATTTGTCTTTTCACTTTAACTTTATAGGTCTTGAAGCTTTCACAAGAATTTGAACAATTAAATCATTTTACTGTAGAGAGAAAAACTGCAGCTACTAATTTAATTACAGGTGAAAATATCTGTAAAGATCTTGTGTCTAAAGAACCAATTTTGGAAGTAGAGATTCAAAGCCCAAAGGAAGAGGAAAAGGAACTCTGGTAAATTGAGAAAATCCCATATCACATTAATTATTTGGGGGTACATTTGGCTTAATCATCATAAGAATTTGATATTTGTTGCCAAATGATGTGAGTGGAAAAATTAGTTATAAGCAAGCATTCCCCAAGAAGTTTGTCTTTTAATATATTATTAAATTTTTAAATCTTTTCCTGCTTTTTAAAATAATTTTATGCTTCTTGTAGAAAATTTGGAAAGCATGGAAAAGTGAAAGGAGATGTTAATAGCCCATAATGTCACCAGGGGGATATGTTAATGTCCTAATTTTTCTTTCTTCTCTCTATAAACATACATATATGTGGGATTTTTTTTTACATAATTGGACTATAAATATCAAAAAAGCTGAGAGATTTTTGCTGTTTTTATTTAACATTGTATCTGATAATTTTGATAACCCTTTTCTTTCTTTTTCATTCTTCTTTTCTCTCTTGTTAATCTTGCCCTTTAACTCTTGTCTTTCTACTTTTTCACCAAAAGTATTTTTTCACAGAAACTTGTTAGACTTTGGGCAAATGTATTACTCTGCCTTGGCACGATAATAGATGCAATCGAATTCTGTCCAGGCAAAAGCCTAGAACTAGATCATCAAAAGGGAATGAAAGATGGCAATTTGACTTATATATTATATACTAAAGGATACGTCATCAATGAACTAGGAAAATATGGTCTAGGTATGGCCACATTTATATCTTTCAAAATGTTTTAACATACAAGGAGGTTTTTTTGCTAGTTTTGGACCTCTGAATTGTATGCCCTCCTAAAAGTTGCTTTTAACTTTAGAGTGTGCTTTGAGTCCAAGATTCACAATCATGAAACCTAGTTGCACAAGTGGGAAAAGCATATTGGAGAGGTGGTGGGGAATAGGTGTAATAGTGGTCACAAGAACAAAAAGCCAAGAAGCTAGATCACAGCATTTAGGTTTGCTGTAGGGGAAAAAGGAAGTCTAGTTCTTGAGCACTGGAAAAGTATATTACTGGGTTTTTGAGGGAGATTATTCTAGAATCTCTATAAGAGATAAATTAAAGAAGAAAAATGGACCAATTAATCCCGATATGAGCTACAGATGAAGAGACAGTGGCCTAGATTGAGTAGGCAGCAGTGGAGATGAAGTGTCCAATTTGAACACTCTTCAGAGAAGAAGCTGACATTAGTTATCAAAGCTGACAAAAATCCACCCACCTGACTTGGGGTAATTGGTAGGGATACTTGCCCCACAGAACAAGGCTATGGCCTTAATTCATTTGGAGGTGGGGAACCTTGCCATGATAAAGATACTGGACTTCTCTATAAAGAGCTCCTTGCTGCCACCGGTTTCCATGACTTGGTCTAAATTACTTCCCAGCACCAAGACTGTGAGATGTCTACATATCTGCCCTATGCTTCCCTCTCTCCTCATAATGTTTCCTTGCTTATCTCCTCTGTCCCACTTCACAGCCTCCACATATCTCAGATCCATTACACAATCACAATCAACAGTAAAATTGCCTATCTACCATGTGCCAGGTACTATAGGAAGACACTGAGGATACAAAATAAGACACAATTCCTACCCTTATGGTCCAAATAGCCTGCTGGGGGAAGATAGTGTTGGATACTATGGAAGCACAAAGGAGGTGCCCTGGCCCTGGCTAATAAACCAGATAATATTCTTAAAGGAAATAACAAACCGAGTCCTGAAGTATGGGTAACCGAGAGCCAAGCAAAAAGATGGGGGATTAATTTTCAAGGGGGATATGACATGTACAAGAGAAGGCATGATTTGTTTGAGGAACTCAATGACCTCAGTGCTGCTACAGCATAGAGCTTGAAGAGAGGAACTGGGGAAGGAGACCGTGAGAGTGAAGAAGTAGGCAGGGACCTGATCATGAGGGAACATGAGTGTCTGCATGAAGAAGTTTGGACAACAGAAAACTACCACAGGGTTTAGTAACATAAAAGAGACTAAGAAGATTTGTGCTTTAGAAAAATCACTCTGCCAATTGTATGGGAAATAGATTATTGTATAGGAACAAAGGCAGTGAGACCAGTTAGGAGACTGTTGCTATAATCTAGCTGAGAGATGGTGGTATTTGTGAGGAAGAGAAAAGTAAAGGGAATTGAGAAGAGGTAGACTCAACAGGACTTCAGGATTAATGAGTATAGGAAATGAGGAAGAAGGCATGGAAGTCAAGAGTGTGGGCAGAGTTTAAAGAAGACTTTCAAGGTTCTGGTTTGATGGTGTCATCCTCTGAGTTTGGGAACACAGTTTAGAGGGAGGAGGGGAAGGAGTTCAGCTTTTGAAACACTGACTTTGAAGTGTCTCTGGAGCAGCCATGCCAAGAGCAAATGAAGACTGGGCTGGAGATAAATTTGAGAATCATCTATAAGTGGACATAAGCAGAAGTCATATGATGGATGAGATGGCCCTGGTTGTTGTCTGATGAAAGTACCTGAAGGCAGAAACCAAAGAAAAGCCTCTTTATAAGAGACAAAAAGAATTACCCTCAGAAGTAACTGAGACAAAACAGCCAGAGAGGTAGAAGGAAAGTCAGGAGAGTATGTGTTACAGAAGCCAGATTAAAGAGTGTTTCAAGAAGAAAGGAATAGTAAATAGTGCCAAGTACTGCCAAGAAATAAAGAATAAAGAGTGATTACTGAATCAGATTAAGAATGTGGTTGAAGACTTTAGTAAGAGTAGCTCCAAGGAAGGGCAAAAAACAAATGGCTTCCTAGATCCCATCTCATGGGATGGTGAATGGGAGTGAACTGAGGAGTGAGTGGAATTTGAGGAAGTACAACTGGTGAGTGTAGCTGCTTTCCAAAAAGTTTGGTTGTGAAAGGGAGAAGGGAATATGGAACTGAAGTGAGAGAAAATTTGTGTATGTTTAAATGCTGATCAGAAAGAGTCCCCAAATGGACAGGTTTAGGATTCTGCATACCAGAGAGGGGCTAGCCTTAGGAAGTCAGCCACCTGGTCCGCTGTAACAGGAGGAAGAAAGGGAGAATGGACAGAGATCCAAGTGAGTTTTTAACTTGAAACCAAAGGATTGTGTGACGATTTGTGTCTTCTGTGAAGTAGGAAAGAAAGTCATGTGCTGAAAGAGGAATAGAAATATCAGAGTTTATAACATAGTGAAAAAAGTTTGAAATAATCACTATGGTGAGTGGAAAGGGAAGCTGACTAGGGAGGGCAGGTAGTGTTGAGGACCCAGTTAAGCTAGAGACTGTGACTTTGTATGGCATCTGTCTTTGAGAATATGTGATCTGTGGGGCAACATTTAGTATAGGCATGAGAAGACAGTTGGATTCGTCCAGGACCAAGGTTTTGCCACACGAATGCAGTGGAAGGACAATGGGGGACGAAAGTTGAACATTTTATTTAGGCAGTGATTAAAATAATGAACAGTAGGCTCTACGTTGGATAAAGAAGCAGGTAAAGGGAGCTGATAGAAAAAGGGAAAAGTAATTGAAGGTACTTATGTAAAAATTATGTAAAAAGAAAAAGCTGAAATCTGGATATCTAATTTTAGTTATTTTGGAAGTGAAGCATTTGCTGATGATACAACTCATAGTGTGGTTATGCAAGTAGCTGGCAAAGAGGGAGAGATGAGAAGATAACTGGAGATAAGGAGACTGAGGAAGTGAGATGCCAAGGCATTGGTGGGTGATCTGTATGGACCTTGGAATCTTCCAGGATGATTGCAGGACTTGGGGTGAAGAAGACACCAGAAAGCCATGAGCCAAAACCTTCCATTTGAAGAGAAGTAGAAAGTATTTACAGCACACCTAGCATGGTCCAATGCACATAGAAGCTGCTCCATAAGCCAAATTGATTGATTCTTCTAGCACATCTCTTCTACTAGATTTTAGCTCCTTTAAGATAATGGACTCTTTCTTGTTTTTCTGTTGTTTATAGTGCCTTTCTTTTAGAACAACAGATCTTAGAACAGGAGGGACCTGCAGATCTTCTAGTGGTTTACAGAGGTCAACCTTCTAAAACTTTAGGAGCTCTGTAAGGGTCTCAGAAACTGCCATGGGAGATGAGGAAAGACTGATGAGTGGAATTCTGTGTAAGATTTTACTTCAAGAAAGAAGCCACAGCTAAAATGTTTGAAAACCACTGCTATTTAACTAAGTCTTCTCCTTTCACAGAAGAGGTCTCTGAGACCAAGAGAACTAAAATGACTATTTTGGTCACAATCACATACTTAGCAAGTTATCAGCAGGACTGCAAGAGGTCCACATCCCCTAACTCTGAGTCAGAAGTTACCACTTTATCTACTTTGTAGAGGACATAGTCACAAATATCCCAAGGGCAAGAAGGTGCTGGGACACTTGGGGTCTAGGTAATTGCTATGAAAGTGAGCTTTATGGTGTTAAAAAATTACTCAGGACTCTGTCTCTGTATATGCGTAACATGGAGGGGGGAAAGGGGAGAAGAATGAAGTCCCATCTGTCTTGTTCTGGACTGTCTCCAGTGTGTAGAACAATGCCTGACACACAGTAGGTACTTTTAAAATATTGGAATGGGGCGCCTGGGTGGCTCAGTCGGTTAAATGGCCGACTTCAGCTCAGGTCATGATCTCGCAGTCCGTGAGTTCGAGCCCCGCGTCGGGCTCTGTGCTGATAGCTTGGAGCCTGGAGCCTGCTTCTGTTTCTGTGTCTCCCTCTCTCTCTGCCCCTCCCCCATTCGTGCTCTGTCTCTCTCTGCCTTTCAAAAATGAATAAATGTTGAAAAAAAATTTTTTTTAATAAAAAATAAATAAATAAAATATTGGAATGAATGGAGATTTCCTTCTACTCCCACTGTGTACTTGCAGCTAAACCCAAAGTTGGACTTCCAAGAGCAGCTCTAAGCTTGCAGAGCCCAGCTGATCTCAACCTGGATTTGCTTTATTAGGAAGCTTGGGCCAGAGCAGCTGGTAGCTTCCCTTGACCTTAATGAGCTGTATTTTTTTCTAACACATTCTCATTTACCATCTCATTACATCTTACTACCTTT